TCTCGTACCTCGACCTCCCACCACTGTAAGGCAAGAATTTTCGTTGTTTTCTTGTTTAAACAAACTTCACAACCTGTTCTTGTTGCTTTATCGGCCTTTGATTTTTAACTAATGTTTTCAATTCGTTGTTTTTGTTATTGTCGTAATCGATTATAAGTTATCCACGGTTCTTTTGTATCAAACATCTTCGATTTGACAAAATCTTCACGATCGGTATTTCGATTGTTGATTTTCGATGGAATTTAGTAAGTTTCTTGCCGCGTCGCTCAGATCTGTAGATTGACTTTTGTTTGTCGTTTGTCTGGTATATTTTTCTTAATTTTTTCCATTATTGGAATGAGAAATATGGTCGTCGCTTTAGATTGTGATTTATTCATGTAAAACTTCTGAGATCGATGATTGAATCTTATCTGTGAATTCGATATAGTATTCGTTCCATCTAGTATTTCCAATAGGCCTGGGATATTCGTTTTATTTTTTTGTGTTCAATTGTGTATTGTTTTTCTTACTTGTTTGTCATTTGAAAGCTTTCGATTATTTATTTTCTAGTTGTAAATGGTGGTAGAGTTTATATGTTGTTATGGTTTCGTGCATTTATCTAATACAAATCGTGGATGATGTTTCATGTGTCAAGTTATTAAAGCCTGATCCTTTGATTTATGTCGTCTTCAAAAACTCGTTCTATTTAATGTAAACATTGTTCAATCTTTCCTTTGCTTTTTGCTGGAATTAAATATCGGTCTATTGAGATTATGCAACTTGCTGTCATACGGTTCAGTTTTATATTTTAGAGGTAGGGACAACATTCGTGCGCGTAATTGGCACTTGTATGACGAAGTTTATTTTGACTGAAAACTCAAGTTCTGATGATCTCCTAATGAAATTTTGTTTGTTCTTCTAGATTTTAATTTCTCAAAGGTATTTTTCCCCCAACCTAACTCATAGGATAATCGTTCTTAATCCCCAGGAATTTGGCCATCTGGTCTGTTGCCTGTAGTTCAAAGTGGAGGGCGTTAAGTTTGAAACTCCTTTTATGTCTGAACGGGCCTCTCTCTTTTTGTCATCGATTGGATTGCTTGGAGAGTATTGTCCTACGTCTAGGAAAAAGAACAGCTGTGCTGAGACTATTGGCTGCATGCATCTTGAGTTGCTTGGAGGTCATAGAAAAGTACGTGATCTTGGTTTCTCTTTTATGCGGCCTTTCCCAGCTGCTCAAAGAACGTTAGGACCTTTTGAAGATACTGCTACTGCTACCTATCTTTTCTAACCAGAGCTGCAGTATTTCTGCGTATTAACAACATGGCATTACAGAACATTGGTGCCTCAAACCGTGATGATGCTTTCTATAGGTATAAGATGCCTAGGATGGTTACTAAAATTGAAGGTAGAGGTAATGGCATCAAGACTAATGTAGTTAACATGGTGGACATTGCAAAAGCCTTGGGTAGACCTGCCGCTTACACTACCAAGTACTTCGGATGTGAGCTTGGCGCGCAATCCAAGTTTGATGAGAAAACAGGGATTGCTCTTGTTAATGGAGCACATGAGACGGCGAAGTTGGCTGGTCTTCTCGAAAACTTCATCAAGAAATATGTTCAATGCTATGGTTGTGGAAACCCTGAAACTGAGATAATCATCACAAAGACGCAGATGATCAATATGAAATGTGCTGCTTGTGGATTCATATCTGATGTTGATATGAGAGATAAACTCACTACATTTATTCTCAAGAATCCTCCTGAACAGAAGAAGGGATCAAAAGACAAGAAAGCAATGAGGCGGGCTGAGAAGGAACGGCTTAAGGAAGGAGAGGCTGCTGATGAGGAACTGAAGAAAATAAAGAAGGATTCCTTGAAGAAGAAAAGCACTAGTGGTAATGCAAAGGAAGCTGTAACCAAAGTTCCAAGCAAGAAAAAGAGCAACGGCTCTGATGAGGATCATTCTCCAACTCGTAGCCATGCCGGTGAGAATGACCAAGCTGCTGACGACGACGACGACGACGATGTACAGTGGCAAACAGACACATCTTTGGAGGCAGCCAAGCAGCGTATTCAGGAGCAGTTGAGTGCTGTCACTGCTGATATGGTCATGCTCTCTACAACTGAAGAGACAAAGTCGTCAAAGAAGTCTCCCGAACACGAGAAGTCTGTGGTCAATGGAAGCAAGAACGGAAACAGAGTGTCTAGCCATGGTGCCCTTGTTAATGAGATCAAAGATTATTTGAAGAGAAGTCCCTCTGCTGCCGATCTTAAATCATTCTTGGAGTCACTTACTGGAACTCACCAAGAGACTGCGAATGCCTTAATTGAGGCTCTATTTGAAGGAGTTGGGAAAGGGTTCTCAAAGGAGGTAGTGAAAAAGAAGAAGTTCCTGGTTGCAGTTGCAGCAGCTCAGGAGGAGGGATCACAGATAGTTCTGTTGCGTTCCATCGAATCTTTCTGTCTCAACACGAGTCCGGAGGCGGCAAAGGAGATCGCACTGGTCCTGAAATCGTTATACGATGGAGATGTAATAGAGGAGGAATTTGTACTAGAGTGGTACCAGCAGGGACTGGCAGGAGCTAACAAGGGTAGCCAAATCTGGAAGCATGTAAAGCCGTTCATCGAGTGGCTCCAGAACGCAGAGTCTGAGACGGAAGAAGAGTAAGAGAATGGTACTCTATACTTTGATTGTCGCATCTCTTTTTTTCTATGTACGGTCGTAGTTTTCTTAGCCAGTCCGTTTGTTCCTTTCCTTGGTTGGCTCTCAGTGTGTCCGTCGTCTTCTAATTTCCTTTTGTGCTGTTGGTGTTTGTTTGGTCATGCGGCTGTTTCTGAACCAGTAACGATAAAATATTGTTTGCTTTCCAGTTATATCGTGGTTAAGTTCTTTAAGACTTGCTGTTGTTGAGCCGTGGCACAATTTTATTATGATATTTTTATTTTGAATGGGACTTATTTGTTTCTAGAACTTCGTTTGAATTGAAGTATTAATTATAAACGAGAGAAACTAATAGAATCTAGATTTTTTCAATGTTACTGTGATAGGATTTTCGAGGAGCATGCCATTTTTAACAAACTTTAATTAAATTTGGAAGAGAATAATCTGTCTGAATTAATAAATACATTATATGAACTTTGTATTTGTCCATAGAATATCTAATTTTTTAATATTATCTTTTTAGCTTCTAAAATAGTTAAAATATACTTCTAATTTTCAAAAAGTTTATAAAATACCCTTAAATTTAAAATTTCCAATTTTTAAAGAACTTCACTTTTGTAAATAATTTTCCTTTTTTAAAAAGTAGAAAGTATTAATATAGAGCAACTTTTGTAAATATGGCATTGGTAAATTTTTACAGTTTATGGGTGTTTTCGAAGTACTATTTTTATTAATTTAGTTTAATTTGATTTAAACAAATTTACAAAAAATTAAAAAATAAATAATAATAATATATATATATAGACCGCATAGTTTTAGGTCAACTATAGGTATAGGGTCTTAATTTTCATACTTCTAAAATGTAACTTTTAAGATTTATTTAGATTTAAAAAGATATTTTTTATGTAGTTAAAAGGAGTTATTTTTAGTGATGGATCGTTATGATTTTTATGTTAGGGTCTAATTATTCTTATAAATTGTAACAAAACTCAATATATTATTACTTTTCTCTTTAATTATTTTGTAAGTGACAGAGAATAAATTAATTTTAATGCTAACCAAGAAAATTATATGGCAAGCCTTAACATATTATATGATTGAAATTAAGTATTAAACAATTAAACAAGCGTGTTAGGAACACATACTTATCTTATTATTAACCAAATTATGCCATAAAATACACCTAATAAGAATAGCTTAAAAAAAAAAAAAAATGAAATTATTATGGAAGAGAATAAATGTTGTCAGATTTTGCTCGTTCGGTTTTCAAATGGTCTATTATGGCTAGGATCTGCCCTACTCCGATCAATATCTTGTATCGTTCGGTGATTGTCTATAAAACCATTTGTAATTATCTACGCTCACTACTAATAGATGACACTTTGACCTGGTTACCTGTCGTTGTTAGTCTTATGATTTTTGAAACGCTCTCGCACATTGCACAATGTCTGACTCTAATACTATTTGTAATATCCCAAATCCACCGCTATCAAATATTATCACTTTAATCAACTATACATGGACATCCATTTTAGAACATATATATTAGAGAGAAGTTTTTTTAAAAATGAAATTTAATTAAAAATGAAATTTAAATTTTAAAACAATTTAAATTCTTTATTATTAGGTGAGATAGATAAAACAATTTTGAGTTTATCCGACAAAAAAAAAAAAAAAAAAAAACA